GGCTGGGAGCATGGAGGAGACAGCCTAGGGAAAGGGGCTGGAGTTTAGGGGCCCAGTCTCCCCCATCTCAAGGGGGCCTGAGGCATCCTAGCCCAGCTCTGTGACCAGATTCCATCTATGCTGTGCTGTATCCTGGAGAGGCAATAAACTTCCTCTATTCCACCGGCTGGTGCAGTCTGTTTGTGCCATTACGGGGTGCAGGAGACGGGGGACCCCCAATACGCCGTCACACTGGCATCCCGAGCTTCTGTTTGCCGGGAGCTGGGAACCGGTGACGGGAAGGGATCACTTGATGGTTCCCTGTTCGGTTCCCTCCCCCTTGGGCACCTGGCATTGGCCACTGTCAGCAGACAGGACGCTGGGCTAGATGGGCCTTTGGTCTGACCAGCTACGTCCAGACTGCCATGATTTTCCGGAAATGCTTTTAACGGAAAACTTTTCTGTTAAAAGCATTTTCGGAAAAGAGCGTCTAGATTGGCAGGATGCTTTTCCGCAAAAGCGCTTTTTGTGGAAAAGCGTCCGTGCCAATCTAGACGCGCTTTTGCACAAAAAAGCCCCTATCACCATTTTAGCCATCAGGGCTTTTTTGCGCAAAACAGTCCTGTGCTGTCTACACTGGCCCTCTTGTGCAAATGATTTGCGTAAGAGGGCTTTTGCCTGAAAGGGAGCAGCATAGTATTTCCGCAAGAACACTGACAATCTTACATGAGCGTGTCAGTGTTCTTGTGGAAATTCAAGCGGCCAGTGTAGACAGCTGGCAAGTTTTTCCGGAAAAGCGGCTGATTTTCCGGAAAAACTGGCCAGTCTAGACACAGCCACCCTGTCTGGCCGTTCTTATGTTCTGTGTTTGTTCAGCACCCAGAACGCTGGGTCCTGACCCCTGGCCACAGTACACATAGGACGTATGTACAACAGTGTTGCTCCCTGTGACGGCGCGTCAGGGTCCCCCGCCTCCTGTCCCCCCATAGTGGCATGAACAGACTCCACCAGCCAGTAGAATAGAGGTGTTTATTTCTTCTCCAGGATACAGCACAACACAGATGTAATCCAGTTACAGGAACTGGGGCTAGGATGCCTCAGCCCCCCTTGAGATGGGGGAGACTGGGCCCCTAAATCCCAGCCCCTTTCCCTAGGCTGTCTCCTCCATGATCCCAGACAGAAACTAACTCCCTCACTTCCAGCCCTGCCCCCAGCCAGGGCTCCACTCCCCTTCTTCCCATTGTTCCGCTCCCTGGGAGATAACTGGTCAGACAGGTTCTTAGCCCCCTTTGCATAATGACTCATCCCCTGCCCTGCTGGGCCGTGCTGCAGCCAGCAGCCAGTGACGTCACTCACAACCCACTGCCCACCATAGCAACCAGCAAAGTACCCCCCACTACGTCACACTCCCTTGCCGTCTCACTTGATGGTTGAAATAAATCACAGGTTACTGGGTTCATCCTGTCCCTGCACTCACGGAGCAGAGGCATCACTCAGCTATTGCTGGTGAGAGCAGACAGACGCACGATCCCTTAGCTCTTTCTTCACACCAGGATCCTGGCTAGCTGGACCACTGATCTGACCCCATACGGCCACATTCTTACGTCCTTGTGTTCCTGATCTGGTGCATTGCAAAAGGCTCTGCACCTACACACCAGGGGAATGCTAGTGGGGCATGGAGATTGTTACAGAAAGGAGGGATCTGTGGGGAAGGGGACTATATCATCCTAGAACTGGCAGGATCCTTGAAAGGTCGTCAAGTCTAGTCCCCTGCAGTCATGGCAAGATGAGGCGCCATCTAGCCCATCCCTGACAGGTGTTTGTCTAACCTGCTGGGATCAATGGGAGGGGAAATACCCTCTTCTGGGCGTTTCATTCATTCAGTCAGTCAGCTAAAGTCTTTTCACAGTGCTTAACTCTTGAGACCTGACCCGCACTGTCTTGGCTGTAAGAGTTAAAATCATAGACAGCAGGTCCTAGAGAGTCCCCATTAGCATTAGGGAAACAAGAAGTGAGTTGACAGGAGGCCAGGAGAGCCAATGGACAGAGTGAGCTTTTGAATTGAAACCATGGACCTGCATGTTCCGGTCTTTGTGTGACCAGAGAGTCTGGGAGACATGAATTAAGCCAGGAACCCAGGCATGAAGTATCCAGTGACAACCATGCCTAGGGAAGAACTAAACCTTGGAACAACAGAGATGTGAGTAGAACAGGGACTGTTTAGTCAGATATGATCAGATTTTTTTTGTGGGGGAGGGTGTGATGTAGTGGGGGGTGCTATCCATTCACCATTCACTGGGCGCTATGCTTGGGCTGTGGGTGACCCCTACTGGCCTGCGTCTGTAGCACTGCCCAGCACGGGGTCGCCCTGAGAACCCTCAGGTCATGTAGTCGATGGCCCAGCCAGATCTCACCTGTCCAGGGAAGGGGTCTGAACAAAGGAAGGGGGTGGCTTGGAGAAGGGGCATTCTTGGTTGGGAAAACATGAAGACAAGAGACTAAGCTGAGTACTGGGGGTTCAGGGGCCTGTTGTGATGGCGCGTTGGGGTTTTCCCATCTCCTGCACCCCCGTAATGGCACAGACAGACTCCACCATCCAGTAGAATAGAGGGAGTTTATTGCTTCTGCAGAATACAGCACAGCACAGATGTAATCTGATTACAGGGCAGGCCTAGGATGCCTCAGCCCCCCCTGAGATGGGGGAGCCTGGGCCCCTAAATCCCAGCCCATTGCCTAGGCTGCTTCCTCCATGAAATCAACCAGAAACCAAACTCACTCCACTCCCCTTCTTCCCATTGTTCCGCTCCCTGGGAGATCACTGGTCAGACAGGTTCGAAACCCCCTTGCGTAATGACTCATCCCCTGCCCTGCTGGGCCGTGCTGCAGACAGCAGCCAGTGGAGGTCACTCACAACCCACTGCCCAGCATAGCAACCAGCAAGGTACCCCCCACTACGTCACACCTGTGGAGCCCTCCCCCAAGGGGTCTGAGGCTGCCTGGCCCTGACTCCTGTAACCACATCATGTCTGTGCTGTGCTGTATCCCGGAGAAGCAATAACCCTTCTATTCAGCTGACTGGCGGAGTCTCATCTTGCTGCAGACGGGGGTGCAGGATCAGGGGGTACCGACATGCCGCCACAGAGGGCTTGTTGGATTTCTCTGGTCTGGGCACTTGTAATTACCCCCTTT